GCCCCTCAACCCTGACTCTCCAGACATCGTAGCCCCCCACTGGAGGGTCTGCGGCCAGCTAGCAACAGGGCGCAGGAGACTCCAGAGGGGGCGGGCGCTCGAATTCACACGGGTCTGGTGCCTCTTTGCTTTGCAGTTTGTCTCCAAGTAGCCAGAGCCCGACTCTGCTCAGCCCCTGCAGCCCCTGCAGCCCGTTACTAACCCTGCATCCCTGGAGGTAAGACCCTGCGGTCCCCCACCGCCACCCAGCGCAGCCGGGGCTGGGACAGAGCGGTCCCGGAGAGCAGAAGCTCAGCCCAGCTGCTCCCGGGAGGACAGAGAAAGGAGGCACCCTGGGGGGCCCCGGGGCAGGCAGCAAGCTGTAAGCCCTCTGGTCGCTGTTCTGCAAGGGAGCCCTTGGGGGGCGGCGGCCTTGCCCTTTGCACGGGGTGCAGATCAGTAGCAGTAGCGACCTCCTGGGCAGGGCAGCAAGAGAGGGTCCTGCGGTAGCGCTGAATATGCCTGGGCCAGGCACGTCTCAGTGCCGCCCTGGGCTGTGTGGTGCTACGCAGCATCCTTGTCTCTGGGGGGGAGGGATGCTCCAGCCACGCAAGGGGAGAGCATCCCCCCATCCCATGGCCCCCAAATATCTGGCTGAGGCTGCTTGTATCTGGGATCGCCTGGGTGGGTGAGTGCAGGGCCCAGTGCCCTGCTGCACCCCCCCCCCTGTTGCCACGCAATCGAACTGCCCCCCAACAGCTGGGCAAGGCAGCTGGAAAGGATCCAGCGTGTGGCTTGTGCGCCCCCTGCCAGACCATGTGCAGAACTGCAGGGGTGTCCTAGCACTGCCTGGCAAACCGGGGCACCACAGGGCTTGGGTACGAGGAGCCCCCGCCTGGACTGGGCGCTACCCTTGCTGGTGTCCGGTGGCCTTGTGTCTACTGTGATGAAACGGGACCGGCCCCCTCTGTGCCCCTCTGGCGGGGGAGGAGGGCTGCACCACTGCCTTCTCCAGCCGTCCTCGCTTGTCAGTGACTCCCCCTGCTCTGAGCACCCCAGTCTCAGAGGCACTTGCCTAAATCTATGGGCGGAGCTGGGGTCCCGAGTGCCCTGGACTGTGCCGGTTGGCTCCCACCAGGCTGGGGTGGGGGGAGAGGGGTATCTCTGTGCAGGGCTGGCTTCCCACT